AAGTCTAGGAGATGTACTACAGGGAGATTCCCTCGAAAGAGGCCCTGGATATTCTGCTGTAACTCTCATTAAGATGAAGCAATCTGAGCCAAAAAAAATACGCTACATACCTTGACATATGTGTAATCGATTGCATTACATGCAATGCTGGAAGTGATCTCCGTTTTCTGCCAGACACACGAAGGGGTACGGGGGTCTGCACCCGGAAGTTGCAAACAGAGTTTAAACGTTGCGACAGCTGTCCCGAGCCTACCTCACCGCTCCGACACAGGGGCATCCTGGCTTGTTCGAAGCTCCATATACTCATTGCACATTGTTTCATTTAGATTGCTTCTTCTTAGAGAGAGTTATTACAGAATATTCGGGGCCTCTTTCGAGTGAATCTCCCTGTGCAAGGTCGCAAGGTCACGCTGAGTTTAGTCTAAAGGCTCTATAGTTTGTATGTTTCTTGTATTTTAATTGTTCCACCTATTTAAACTCACCTACAACATTTGTGTGGTTTTTATAAACAGTTGTAAATTGTGTTTACATGACCATTTCTAGCCTTTCTTTTGGCCCTATATTTGTAATCATAGTGCAAGTGGAAAAATAAGGTGTAAGAGTGCTGCTGTTCGCAGGCGTGGCAGATATAATGTTGGTGTTTTTAGCACTTCGTGATCATCCGCAAATGTTAACCTAGTGCAGAGCAGCGCAGTTGTAAAGGGGGTGGCTATGATGAATACATTATTAACAGGTATGACAATATCAGTAAGACAATATCAGATCATCTCCTCTCATTTAATTTAAAAACCCAGTGCAGAGGAGAGTGCACTGTCACAGCAGGCTATCACTGCATTCGTATAAAATAGATTTTATTATTTTACTATAGTACTACATTACTTACTACATTACTGTAGATAATGATAAAAATGTTTTATAAATGTCAGGTTGATACTGTAGTAATGCATACATGGCTGTCTTTTCACATGTGTAGGAGCTCCTCAGCGCAGAGTGTTTGTATTGTCTTATTTCTCACTTCTTTGAGAGCACTTGGTGTGCCTGATGTTTGAAAGTAATACTGTATGTTCCAAGTTAGGGGGTGTTGTTAGGCACAACACGGCATGGACTAAAAACACTGTAACACAGTATGGAATGGCTTACTGCTTTTTATAAAAAAAAACATAATAAAACTATAAGAATACAGTATACAAATATTACACTGTCACGACTCTCTTCGGCTCTGAGGTCTCTTTGGACTCCACCTCCCAGAACCCCCTGGGGGATCACGTGACTCCTGCCTCACTCTCACGCTCCAATCAGCACTCTAGCTCTCCAGAGTACTGATCATGTCCACCTGCAGCTCATTGTTTAGTTTAATATAAAGCTCAGGCTTGTAGGAAATTGTTATTCTGGTTCTGACTTTTTGTCCTGTTTTTGACTGACCTTTTTTTTTGGATTGTTTGCCTGTATGTTTGTGCTTCTGTGTTATTTGCCCTTTTTGGATCTGACCTATGCCTGTTTATTGACTTCGATTTTAGATTGTGTTTTCATCAGTAAAGTCTCTCATTCTACTTTTTCCCATGAGCATCTGTGTCATTCTGTCTTGTTACATATATAATATTTTAATAATATATATTATCACAATTAATAAACAGCTGCTGATTATTATTTTTATTATTAGTATTATTAGTAGTAGTAGTAGTATTAATTTTAGTATTATTATTAGTAGCAATAGTAGTAGTAGTATTAGTATTATTATTAGTATTATTATAATTATTAGTAGTAGTATTAGTATTAGTAGTAATAATACTGTTGTTGTCAATATTGTCACGCCTCAGGAGGACTCAGACTACATTTCCCACAATACATTAGTAGATCATGTGACTGAGCAACTTCCCTCTGACACAGAGTCCAGAAGGGACTCCATTGCCCACAACCCCTCGGGAGATCATATGACTGTGGATGCTTGTGCACGCACTTATCAGCGCTCACATTCACCGGAGTACTAAATACATTCACCTGTGTTTATTGTCATATGACCCACTTAGTATAGTTTATAAGCCCGGGCTTTAGTCTTAGTCGTTGTGAGGTATTGTTTCTGCTAGAACTTGCTGAGCGTTTCTATTATTCTGTTTGCTACGACCTGTTATGACCTACGTTTTGTCTCTCTGACCTTGATTTTTGCCTGTCCCTTCTTGTACTTTTGCTGACGGTTTTTGGATACGTGTTTTGACTTTTTGGCCTGGTTTTTGACTACGATATCGGATCACTCCCTTGGTGTTGTTTGCTTTGGTTATGATCACTTCGGTGATATTGTACTGCTTTCTGGTTACGACCCACGCATGTTTTTTGACCTCTTCTTTGTCGCCCTCGAATAAAGCTTGGTGTACGCTTTTAATCCGCAAGCGTCTGAATTCTGTTGCATCGTCACAGTGGTTAAATATCCATCTGCCAAGTAAATCAGAAAAAACTAAAATGAATAAACAATGAAAACAAAACAAAGAATAAAAAATGAAAGCTGATTGAATAAAATAAAAATAAAAAAAATCTCAGCACTGTAGACAACTTTAGGCTGAGAGTCCATGGTGCTCACAGGTCGAGATTCCAAAGTGATCGCAGGTTGAGAGTCCAAAATGATCATGGGCTGAGAATGGGAAATCATAGTGGGCCAAGAGTCCACAGTGAACACGGACCAAGAATCTGAAGTGACCATGGGCCAAGATTTCTAAGTGATCACAAAGCAATGACAGATCAAGAATTCTAAGTGATCGTAGGTCGAGAGTCTGAAGAGTCTTTGGTGTTTTCTCTGTATCTTTTAATCATCTTTCTCTTACTGTCCCCTTTTTAATACAAATGGATATCTCATATTTAATCTCCTCAGAAATTTTACTGAAAAATAAATAACTTAGTGGCTGTTTTGACCAGAAATTAAATAAATGAAGGGCCACTGACATTTGCACAGAGCTATACATAAAACCATTTGTTAAAAATAAAAAACAAGGTAAAATCAGTTTTCCATGATATGGGCTCTTTAAAAGACGGAAAAAGGAAAATCTGTTGTGTAACTGTGTTGCGCACCTGTATTGTGTATCTATGTTATAGCTCGGCCAATTTTAATTAAGTGTACTGACCACCAGGTGATTAGTTTACTCTTCTGTACTTCTCGTCTGTCCCACAGAGAGACACTCCCTGTACCACATCTACACTGTTCACTACAGTTCGTCACAAAACACCAATAACATCACCAAGGTCACTGCTGCAGTCCTATTTGATGATGAACAGGTAGACTACTTCAGTGATAGCAATGACAGGGTCTCGGAGCAGACAGAAGAGTCCTGGAGGAATAGAGCAACAATGAGGAAAGAGCATCAGATGTTTTTGAATGAATTTGAAGGTTTTATCCACCTCCTGGAACTCAATTCTAAAGGTCAGTGCTGAATTCTGTCCTATAAAATTGGAAGTATATAAGATGAGCTGTGTGTAAAAAGCTGTAAATGAATTATTCTTGTGTGGATTTCAGATGATCACCACTTTATAAAGACACGTGGCTGTGAGGTTGAGAGGTCCTCTAGTGGAGATGCGACCTTACTGAACACTACAGATGAATACAGACTCAACGGAAAGGTTGTCCTCTATTTAGATGTTGACAAAGATCAGTGGATGGTCCTGGACAATGAGTTCCTTCCAGTTAAAGTAATGTGGGATAATGAACCCCATCGTAACCAAGTCACCAAGGATTACCTGCAGCAAAGGTGTATGGATAGACTCCTCAGTTATCTGAATGATAATGATAGTGACAGTAATGAGATGTCAGGTCTCCCCAACCTGGGTGATTATGATGATGAAAGTGAGGACAGTTGGATGAGAAGCATGCCCCTCTACAATTATAGTGATTTTAAAATCATGTACTGTTTTTCCGAAGTACGCCATGTGCGCCAAGTTCTCTCAACCAAAATGTTCAGCCTGACCATTTTTATTATTATTATTATTGTGATCATTTTTGTGCTGCACAGAAGAAGGACTGTTACTACCGCTAAATACCTGTTTACTACTGGAGTGATAACTTGGGTTCTTTTAAGTTTTAAAAAGATGATAAAAGCTGCAAAACCTCCAGGTAAAGAAGCTTCCAGAGAGGATTCGAATGGTGAGCCAAAAGTCAGGCTATTTGTCTGTTTGTCAGTTTGTTTGTTTATTTGTTCATTCATCTTTCCCCTCACTCACTCGCGCTGTTCAGCTCTGCCACATTGCATTCTTCTGTTCACATTACATCACACACATACCCACCATGGCGATAACTGTGGAAGGTAAAGATCATGTTTAGACAGGAAGTCATTTCACATCAAGACAAGACTTTTTTCACATCAGAAATCTTATTACATAAAACAAGATCTTTAAAATCTACAACCCCAATTCTAAAAAAAGTTGGGACGCTGTGTAAAATGTAATTAAACGTAAATAAAAGCAGAATGCTATTGTTTGAAGATCTCATAAACCCATATTTTATTCACAATAGATGTTGAAAGTGAGACATTTTACCATTTCATGAAAAACATTAACTCATTTAGAACAGCCTTTTGTTGCCACGTCCCAACTTTTTTGAGATTTGTTGCTGCCACTAAGTTCTAAATGAGCTAATTTACATTTAAATATCTAACAATGTTTACATTTTCAAACCCAGAAATCTGATCAACACTTTCTTAACTTCATATTTACTCCTACTGTTTACTAAACTGTTATTTTATTATTACAAAAATGTACTTGTTTCATCTTTGGTTTATGTTGGTCATTTTATTTTTCAAAATGCAGTGCTGTGGAAACATGTATTAGTAAATGCTTGACTAAACTAGACTTAAAAAACTGAGACCTTTTAAAAACTGAAACTTAATTTTAGCTTGTTCAATTAAATAATGATATTAATTAATCACATAAAAATATATATTACAGAAAATCAGAATTCCTGTTCATTTACTTTACTCTGACAGATGTTAGAGATCTGTGTTCAGTGATGGTGAATGAAGATCAGGATGGAGGAGATGCAGAAGAACCTGAGAGTGAGTCCAGCTCTGCTGTGGTTTATTCTTCTGTTCACTGAACAACACAAACCTTTAAAGATTGTTTTTGGCAGGAGGAAATCTGTCACTTTCTCTGTACAAAAATTAAGCCGTTCAAATCAAATTTGAGCCACATTCAAATATCAAAAATAACATATGGTCACATCTGATCATACAAATTTAATGTTCTTACTGTTAATCCTGCTGTTCGCTACATTCTTACTTTTTCATTCTAGAAAGCTTTGGATGATGTTTTTATTTTATTTTGGTTCATTTTCAATATCTGAATAAAATAATGGCATCAGTTTATTACAATAAATCATATATTATATTGACACATTAATTTATAAAAAAAAAAATTAATTGTCATATCTGTAATCAAAAAGACTGTTTCTTCATTCTCTCTCAGCTGAGGATGAGGATGATGATGGTAAGAACCTGGACAGATGGACTACAGGACTGACCACAGCTGGAGGTGAGATCATCACCTGTTCATGAAGGAAACATCCACTAAACACTGAATCCACACTAATCAGAACAAACACATCCACAGTCTGATGTTCTGTAGATCATCTGTTACTAAACTGATTACTGATCTGTAAGCTCTGTGATCTGAATACATCACAGTGTTGTACAATGTGTTTCTGTTCTTTTGGTGATGTTAGAAAAATCTAAATAATCAGAAAAAGTTTAAAAGGTAAAAACAGAAGCTTTAGACTAATCTTTCCACTGTGTTTGGTTCTGTTCTCTCTCTTTAACAGGACAGCTCAGCTCTAGAACCGCCTCTCTCCCTGCGTTTGGTAAGTCTATGTATTTGTTTCAATCTAATGTAGAAGAAACAAAGAGTATTTATAACCTATGGACTGAGTAATCGGGAGAACAGGGAGATTTCCTCGTGGACTGGTAGCGTTTTGGGCCAGTTACTGTGAGCCAGGAGCGCCAACGGGGATTTTGGGCCCAATGAAAAGACGTCACATTGGGCCTCATCACCCCACCAACACCACAGGCCACGCCTACCCTGAGAATATAACACTGTGCAGACATGCATTCTGCATACAGTGGAATTCTCTGTTTGAATATGTAATATATGCAATATATAAGGTAAAACATTGTAAATGTCTCACAAACTCCAAAAGTAAACTGGGGAAAGTAATTGTACACCACTGTTAGCTTGGTACTAACATGACACTGCAAATCCCATAGAGAGTGAATCACACAGCTTACTGAAGTTAGCATTATAGTAGCAGTGCTAATCGGATACCTACAGAGATAAAATGACACAAAGAGAAAGATTCTACATTCAAACCTGTCATACTGTGACAGACAGCTCATGAACTCACTCAATTTATTTTACATTGCTTCTGGTTGGGCTAGGCAAACTAGCATGTTAGTACATAGCTAGCAAGGCTAATGTTAACTAACTTTGCGATTGGCTAAGTATAAACATGCTGTATTTATTCTGGTTTATAGATGTTAATGTAGCGCAGCCGCTTTTTAACATTTAAATAATGGAAAAATTTTAAAATATATAATATTAAACTGTATTTTGGTGCCTAATTTTACAGAAAATCTGTTAATAATGTTTTCATGTATTATTACAAAATTGCTACATCGTAAAATCAAGACGGTTGTGGGGAACCTGTTCTGCAAACTCTTGAATGGTGGTGGATTTAGCCATTTGTACTGTGATTGTATGTTGTCTGTGAGCATTGTCCCAACTGTTGAGAACACAACCTTACTAAAAGCAGCTCATTCTGTGTGAATGTGTTTTTTTACAGCATCAGAGAGAAGCGAGAGCTCTGACCTCACATCCACACCAGCACTCAGAGAAGAAGGAGATCCCCTCAATCTTAAAGTCACAGCTCAGCAAAACATCTGATTTACCCCATTGGTCCAGATGTAGCTGATCAGTTAAGACATGTTTGGTGTCTGAACGTTGCTACTTTAGTTTTAGCTGAAGCATTTTCTAAGGAATTCATTCAATAACTACAATATATAATGTAAAAATATGTTACATGATTGTGTTTTAAGCTCCAAAAGTTAGTATTTAAACTAGAGCTGTATAGTATTAAACTCTGTGTGAAATTACGTACTGTTAACTTGGCACTAAAATCACACTGTAAAACCCATAGAGACTAAATCCAACTTACTGGATATAGTGTGTGGCATGCGCCCGTCCCCTGGGTCCCGATGATGGCCACGAGAGCTGGCAGGAAAGCAGGGCCCGAACTCCAAGTGAGGATGGAGACCCACGAGGGGGAGAACAGCGAGTGTGTGGGGGACGGCCCATGACTCCCGAGCCCCGCCTCCTGGTGCCGCCTCCGGTCCCACCCCGGTTGCCTTACGTTTGCATACCATGCCCCCAAGCTCCCCTTCAAACGTGCCGCATATGGCAGATGCCAAAATATCTATAATTTAAAGAACTGTAAAAGAAAGCATTACCAATTTGTCGGCATCAATTCATCTGAAATTGCATTATATATTTTGTTTCTGTGCCAATAATAAATATATTGTTATTAAAATGTAGTATTAAAAACACAGTTGTTGTGCTGGTCATTTCAAAAAGATCCACTTTACACTGTCCTACAGATTCAGGTCCAGAAACTGTTTCTGTTATTTTCAGTTTCAGTCAATTTAGTCAATTGAGTCAATTTAAGCTGGTGTAGTGGTGTGGATTGTCCAGCAGGTGGAGCAGTAGAGCTGGTGTAGTGGTGTTTATTGTCCAGCAGGTGGAGCAGTGGAGCTGGTGTAGTGGTGTTTATTGTCCAGCAGGTGGAGCAGTACAGCTGGTGTAGTGGTGTTTATTGTCCAGCAGTGGAGCAGTGGAGCTGGTGTAGTGGTGTTTATTGTCCAGCAGGTGGAGCAGTACAGCTGGTGTAGTGGTGTTTATTGTCCAGCAGGTGGAGCAGTACAGCTGGTGTAGTGGTGTTTATTGTCCAGCAGGTGGAGCAGTACAGCTGGTGTAGTGGTGTTTATTGTCCAGCAGGTGGAGCAGTGGAGCTGGTGTAGTGGTGTTTATTGTCCAGCAGGTGGAGCAGTACAGCTGGTGTAGTGGTGTTTATTGTCCAGCAGGTGGAGCAGTGGAGCTGGTGTAGTGGTGTTTATTGTCCAGCAGGTGGAGCAGTACAGCTGGTGTAGTGGTGTTTATTGTCCAGCAGGTGGAGTCGAACTGTTTTGGAAGTCTTCTGCTCCATCACACGTTGCCGTTCACTGAACAGAACTAAATCTACTCTTGAATTCTGTTCAGCATTAAAATTATCAGCAAAGCAGTTAGAATTCTATAAATGTGTAAATCACATACATTTCACAGTTATTTTCTATATAATATAAAAACTAAATAATTTTTTACATAGCATGCAAGTGTAAAGTTCAGAAGTATTAATCTAAAAAATGTTTTTTCTTCCTTGGTTTATTTTTTTAAATGTGAATGCCTTCATAATTTTTAAATCCGATATAATCTTATTTACTTTAAAGTTGAACAGTTTCTGTGTAATTCAGTGGTTTAGATGTAATCAGAGCAGGTCAGTGTGATTTCTTTACAGTGCTGATGGGAAGCAGAGGGTCATAAAATCTTCAGCGCAAATATAAACATATAGCCTGAAATATGTTTATATACATTCACTTATCTTACTTACTTCAGCCTTCAGTTCAGAGAAACCGCGAGGATCTGTGAAACTGGGCCGGTCAGTTAGTGGAGCCCAGAATCAGAACCGAGCAGGGTGAGTTTGGGGATATAGTTGTATTAACATGTCGCCGGTATTCTGGACTTCAGTGTTTAAACAGTTTGTAAACTCACCTGTTTCTCAGGTGGTCCGAGGTCAGGGTCCGTATATGTAGGTGACTCGGTTAGTTTGTCAACCATGGCGAGGAGAATTCTGCTGTTATTAATATTATTGTTGATAAATAAAGAGAAAAAGGGTGGTCTAACTTACATACAGAGTCGTATGCAAAGGTTTTGGCACCCCCGGCCAAGAGAACACACTTCTGCACATTTTAATACACTATTAGTGTTTATTTACTGAAAGTAACATTTTGGGGAAAAATTATAAAATGTAAAATGTGGCCTGTGTTTATTTTTTCCCCCCAAAATGTTAAATTCAGCGCACAGACAGAAAGCGTGCTGAAATGCTCCCTGTAGAGGATATGTTAACTTATTTAATTTAACAGAAAGTGTGAACATTTGGGTTATTTTTCTAAGGAGGTGAACAGGCTCTTACTTGTGAGATCAAATTTGGTATCAGGGAACCTGAATGTAGAGATGTAGTTTTGGTAAACAATGTAATTTTTTACCAAAATATTTTCATAAACTGGTCAGCCAGCCTGATATCTCTGTGTTTGTCTCTTTCCATTTGTTCTCAGCTTCACTGACCAAACGACAGTGAGGACGCTCCTCACGCTGAGTATAGTCCAGCAGTCACAACTACAGCTGAACAATAACTGATATTCGTTTATTTCCCTTCATATAAACGCTGGATATCTCCTACTTACTACACTATAACTGGTACTTTCCATGAATGGAGTTCAATTTATGCCCCATTACCTTTTTAAAAGCAATAAAGTGACTGTTTTTTATTATTACTTCTGTGCAAAGTGCACTTTTAGTGAAATGTGTACCACCTAGCAACACCCTAGCAACCACCTAGCAACCACCTGGAATACCATAGCAACCACCTGGAGCACCATAGTAACTGCCTAGCAACACCCTAGCAACCACTTAGGATACCATATCAACCACCTAGTAACACCCAAGCAACTATATGGGATACCATAGCAACCACCTAGCAGCACCCTATCAACTACTTGGGATACCATATAAACTGCCTTGCAACACCCTAACAACAACCGGGAATACCATACCAACCACTTAGCAGCATGCTAGCAACCACCGGGGGTACCGTAGCAACCACCTAGCAACACTCTAGCAACCACTTGGTATAACATAGCAACCACCTAGCAACATTCTAGCAACCACTTGGTATACCATAGCAACCACAAAGCAACACTCTAGCAACCAATTGGTACACCATAGCAACTGCCTAGCAACACCCTAGCAGCCACCTGGTACACCATAGTAACCACCTAGCAACACTCTAGCAACCACTTGGTATACAATAGCAACCGCCCAGTAACACCCTAGCATCCACCTGGTATACCATACCAACCACCTAGCAACACCCTAGCAACCACTTGGTATAGCATAGCAACCACCTAAAACACTTTAGCAAGCTTAGGCTGTGACTGCATCTTCTTCAGGAAATGCCCTCACTGCTGTAGTTATTAACGAAGAGTAAACATATCTTCAGTTATTAGACCGTATTAGGCCGTATAACCTACTGACCTATGGATCACCATGACAACAGAGTTTCTCTTTTCTCCTGTATTAAAACTCTTTATTAATGTAAACTGTTCGTTTTAACAGTCTTTCTCTTCTTCTCTTTCCTTCCCTTTGTGGTCTTATAGCTGACTGACTCAGACTAAAACACTGACTCGCTCAGTTTGGGCGGAAACGGGGGACTTTTATGTGGTCAGACCAGGAAGCCGAGGTGTAGCTGTGTTCCGGAAACAGAAGGAGCGCAGTTACCTTTTCCGTTCTCAGCGCTGAAGGAGTCCAGAGAGGAGGAGGAGGAGAGATGGCGGCGGCGGCGGAGCCCCGGAGCGGGGGAGAGGGACACCACAGCGGGGAGAGGGAGCGGGAGAGGGACGGGGAGAGAGACGGAGAGCGGGACGGAGAGAGGGACGGAGAGAGGGAGAGAGAGCGGGCGGCTTTCGAGTGTAACATCTGCCTGGACACGGCGAGGGACGCGGTCATCAGCCTGTGTGGACACCTCTTCTGGTATTTACACCGCTCTAATATTGATCTAAACACTTATAATCACTGTAATATGGTTAATAAACACACTAATGACTGATCAGCCTGTGTGGACACCTCTTCTGGTATTTACACCGCTCTAATACTGATTTAAACACTTATAATCACTGTAATATGGTTAATAAACACACTAATGACTGATCAGCCTGTGTGGACACCTCTTCTGGTATTTACACTGCTCTAATACTGATCTAATACTGATCTAATACTGATTTAAACACTTATAATCACTGTAATACGGTTAATAAACACACTAATGACTGATCAGCCTGTGTGGACACCTCTTCTGGTATTTACACCGCTCTAATACTGATCTATACTGATTTAAACACTTATAATCACTGTAATAACGGTAATAAACACACTAATGACTGATCAGCCTGTGTGGACACCTCTTCTGGTATTTACACCGCTCTGATACTGATTTAAACACTTATAATCACTGTAATATGGTTAATAAACACACTAATGACTGATCAGCCTGTGTGGACACCTCTTCTGGTATTTACACCGCTCTAATACTGATCTAATACTGATTTAAACACTTATAATCACTGTAATACTGATGATAAACACATGACTGATCAGCCTGTGTGGACACCTCTTCTGGTATTTACACCACTCTAATACTCATCTAATACTGATTTAAACACTTATATCACTGTAATACTGATAATAACACACTAATGACTGATCAGCCTGTGTGGACACCTCTTCTGGTATTTATACCGCTCTAATACTGATTTAAAACACTTATAATCACTGTAATACTGATAATAACACACTAATGACTGATCAGCCTGTGTGGACACCTCTTCTGGTATTTATACCGCTCTAATACTGTTTTAAACACTTATAATCACTGTAATACTGATAATAACACACTAATGACTGATCAGCCTGTGTGGACACCTCTTCTGGTATTTATACCGCTCTAATACTGTTTTAAACACTTATATATATCACTGTAAAACAGTTCATAAACACATTAATGACTGATCAGCCTGTGTGGACACCTCTTCTGGTATTTATACAGCTCTAATACTGATCTAATACTGATTTAAACACTTATATATCACTGTAATACGGTTAATAAACACACTAATGACTGATCAGTAGTGATTATACTACTGTAATACAATTATAAACACTTATAACTGTTCAGAGAACACAGCATAATACAGATTATAGTGATCATACTACTGTTAACTGTAAACACATAACTGCTCAGAAAACACAGTTTAGTACAGATTATATATCTTATAATAAGAGTGGCAGAGGTGGGGGATTATAATATAATCTTATATAATAAGTCTAATACTATAGTACACCTGTAACATGGAAGGCAAATGTAACTAACAACACGTATACAGGCTTAGAGAACATAACACAACAGAACATAATGCACAATACACAGCATACCTGCAGTAATAATGAGTGTGGAAGAGATTCATAGTGGGGATTTATAATGCAATATAATATAGTGATTCTAATGCACAGTGCACAGTACTCCTGTAACATGGAGGGCAGCATATAGAGCATGATGAAATTGCCCGACACCTAATATCCCCCAGCTCTGAGTTAAAATACATTAATAAATTTAATTTAATACACCCAGTACACATTAAATAGATAGGAGAGAAATGATGAAACACGTATAATGGTAAAGTAGTGCATGAAGTACACATAATATATCTGTTCTGGTAACGCAAAGGGGCTTATAAACCCTTATAACAGCACATTACAGAACAATACAAGTAGAGGAGAGAGATTATAGCTAGTTTATAGAGACGTATACAACAGCGCTGACAGCACTGGCTTCAAAATGTCCAGTTAAACGAAGCATAATAACAAACCAGCGCCTCTGTTAGATATTATTCTGTTAACTATACTCATAATATTGAGTTTAGACGATGTGAGTTAATCTGTCCATGATATGAAATAAAGATGTTTAATGTTTGCTAACGACATTATGAGTTTTCTCGTTATTACCAAGTTTTCTCCCCAAAACATTCCGATTAGCGTTAGCGCTGGAAAATAAGAGATTTAGCACATAATATCAGCGATTTGGTTCAAAGTGTGCGTTTTAGATGGGTCCCCAGACAGCTTTGACCTCTCGTTTTGGATCTGTTTGTTTATTGATCGTGTTATCGATTAATGTTTCGCTAAACTTGTCAGAGCTGTGAGGCGAAGTTAGCAAGTTAGCGTAGCTAGCATTAGCCGCGTAGCGCTGCTTAGCGAAGAGCAGACGAACTGAAATAAACACACATTTGATGTATTTTTGACTTTTTCTCTGATTTAATGGGTATCTGTGTGAACAACATGGCTAACACGTTGGAAATCTCTATTATATCCCCACTCTGTGAAAGACAGTTAGCTACACAGCTAGCTTTGTTGTTGTTGTTGTTTGTCAGACACTGTAGACGAGATAATAACTTGATATAACCTGTTTCATAAGATATGATAGGAGATTAGTTTGCTAGTAGCTACTAAATCAAAACCAGCAACCTAAAAATGTATCTGGTTAGAGGTTTTTGCTGGGTAGACTGGTCACCATGGCTGGACGTTGTTCTGCTGAGTGGTTCCCAATTGTATGTGTATGTATTCCTGATTCTCATCCATCGCTCAGCATCATGAAGGGCTTGGACCATGTGAACTAAGTAGGTTAGATGTGGAAAAACTCTGAAATGTGCAGGCCGGAGTTTAATACTGGAGCTAAACTGTGGAACCCTGGATCAGCTGGTGAGGGCTGGGGGACTTATTCACCATAGGAGCTACACTGCTTTGTTGAACACCCTGCTGGGTTTATGTACAACTATCAAGCTTGAAATGAGGGTTAACATGTAAACAGAGTCATTCAGAGTGGTTTGGTGTGATATTCTCTGTTCTAGAGTCAGAACTGTTCACAGTGGTGGTGATAGGAACCAGACGTCCACCTCTAAAAGCTCCCTCACAGAAAGTTACTACAGTAAATGGTTATGAATTCACTGCCTGATGACTGAGACACTGTTTTATGATAGCTTTGTGATAAAGTGTTGGCTTTATCAGTTTATTTCAATCCATTCATGGTGGAGGGATACATGCAGGGCGCTGTGAGGCAAAATAGTCCCCAAAGAAAACTTATTATTTCAGATTTTCCACTGTTTTCCATCATCAACATTCCATATAAACTCAGAAGACTCGTGTAGGTTCACTGGTGGTTCTGGATAGTAAATAAAATGTCTATATCTGTGTTGTAGTCATGGCGACCCCTGGTTCCTATCACCACCACTGTAAAGACCATTTCATGAACCATTTCACACCAAACCACTCTGAATGACTGTTTACAACACTGGATTATTCAGATGGTATGAAAAGTTGGTGGAATCCCCCCTTGAGTAGGGAGCCCACTGTAATCGTGTTGTGTAGCTTGTGTGGACTTTGTTATGGGAGGTTGAGAGTTATGTCACTCCGTTGTGGGATTCCTTTAGTCGTATTTTGTCCTGGTCCAAGATGACCCTGTATAGTTACACAACAGCGCTGCGTGTTTGAGGTGCTGTAGGAAGTTTACGTAGCTGTGTTAGCGCTGAGCAGGCTGAGGTGGAGGTATCTCAGAGCTTTCAGCCCAGCTCGGCCCACTGGAGTCGTAATGAACTCTCTCTGGGGTTAATTAGAGATTAGGAGCAGGATTAGGGTCATTGTAGTGGAAGAGTAAAAATAACCACAGGTTATATACGTATATGTGTAACACTCTATCTCTCTCACTCTCTTTGTCTTTCGCCCATCTCTTTCTTTGCTTTTCCCTTATGATACAGTGGTACGTTATATGATTTGACTGACATAATTGTTCCTTTTTTGCATGGATGAGGTTAAAATATAATTAACTAACCAGTCACTGCGGAGGGAAAAATATTAAATGCTTATAATGGTGGAATCGAGAGCATATTATACATACAGAACATACATAGTAACACGTTTGTTTTGGTAACAGTAGCAGAAAAAATGGGATCACGAACACTTACAACAGCTCATAATATAATAGAAAGACATACCAGGGAGAGATTATAAGCACTTGTTTAAGCACTTATAATCACTGGCAGCGTAAAGGTTCTGTATGACCGTCACTCAGACTGTTCAACAGTTTTGTTCAGTTTAGACACAAAAGAGCTGTTAAAAATACAATGTTTAGATACTAAATAAGAATGAACGCTGACGTTGTTTGAGTTTAGATAATGTATGTTGAACAGTATGGGCCCAATATGGCTGACATTCTGTGAAATATTCAGTTAAAGAAGAAATCCAAGCTTCTGTTAGCTGTAGCTCTGTTAACTCTATTCAAAAGCTTCAGTTTACACAGTGTTATTAATGCATGATATGAAGCCATGCAATAATATTAGAAGTTACTCGCTATCAGCAACTTCTTCCAAAATATTTCATTAGCTGCTGGTGAAGCAGAGTGGCCACTTTAAGATGTAAGATTTGTTGGCAGGTTTGTGGATGTTGGTGAATATTTCTGCTGTTTTGCTGCAACTTTTTCCATTAGTTTTCGGTCTATAGTCTGTTATTCTTTATTAGAATGTATATATTCTTCTCTGGAGTTTTACTAAGATGTGGTTTGGCCTGTAAATGTTTATATTGGTTGTATAACATTTTTCTTTCAAAAAAATTAAAATATGTCACAGTGTGCTTTTTCTGAGCACTGTGGGTACCATAAATTCTGCAGAGAACACTGACCAACTGCATGTTTCATTACCAAGAGAGCATAATTAGTCCTGTTTAACTGGATTCAGCGCGGTGCAGTGAGTGAATGCTGAATAAAAATCACTGTATTCGTAGTTTTTGTACGCGTGTTTGTGGATGTGGCACTTCTGGTGTTTTTTTTTGTCCACTTTAGTGTATCAAACCTCAGAAAAACGAAATATTGTGATGCATACCGTGTTTATCATGAAAAGTGCTGTGATGTTTACGTTGTTTACACTCATTATCTACGTCATCACCACTCTCTGTTTTTGATAATAGAAGAAGGCAGTTCAGGTTGAAGGTGACTCTGACACGATTACAGTACAATAAACAATGACGTGACTAAAGTACAGTAGGTTCCAGGGCTGAATCAGGAGGGCGCTGCATGGTTAAGAGCATGTACACAGAGATAGCTGACGTGTTGGAGATGTTGACGAGCTGTTTACTCTGTAGAAGTTTGCGTTTTCATTTTCACTGTTTGTATGAAAGAATGAAGGGATGTTTGGATGGACAGAGTGGTCACTTTCTTATGAAATAAGGACAGTATAAACTGTTTAACCTGAGAAAACAATGCACAACACAAGGAATACTATATGAGAGCAGAGCTGTCACTGTGATTGTATTAGTTATCATATAATTCACTAATGATTTTAATAATTACTCATTTTTAAAATGACGCAACAGTAAAAATTGACTAACACACCACACAAGGATTCGAGAAGCTCTCATTGAACACATAATAACACTATGTGGTAAAAATAGATATTAATGGTGTTTGATGTTTCAGTTATTAACAGCAGACCAACTGACCCCTAATCACTGCTGGTTTATCAGGAAGGTACAGTGTATCTAATACATTTTTAATAGATGATTAAGTTCAATTAATAAATAACAGTGGCCCTTAATGGGATAAGGCACTGTATTAATCACTCCTGATTCCTGATTGGACGGTTAGTCCAGGCTGATTTATACTGTATAGGCTATATTTAACTCTGAGGGGATTTTGAGAGGAAACCCTGATGTAAATATTGACCGTTTCAGCTCTGAACTGGATTTAGTTTAGTAAACACTGTGTCCTGTTTTGGGTTCTGCGTTGACGTCTTACACTTTCTGTTCTGTGAATGACGTTGATTGGCGGTTATTTTAGGCATCGTGCTGTAATTTTGCCTTTTTATTTATGAGCTCTGCGTAGGGGTGGATGATACGATGAT